ATAATATCTTACTGACCTCAAACTTTTGAACAGTATTTTTGTATGTGTCTTTTTCTATTAAAAGTATACCAAACTATACACTATAAAAATGTTTTGTTGTATTTTTTTTGTAAATAAAGCATAAAATAGATTATTGCAGTAAAAATAAAAATACCATTTCAGTCTTTCCACTTAAAAATGTCATGTTTATTTCAACGTATAACTTGTCATTTCTTTGTAATTATTTTTAAGATTTACTAGTAATTTCTGAGTGAAAATTCTAAATCCTACACCAATTTTATTTTAGTGTAGTTAAGCATACGATTATGCTAATAATCTTTAGGTTTTTGGAATATAGTTACTATATCGATATATATCAAACATCCTTTGATGCTCCAAACACAGTTTAACCATATGAAAGCAACGTTGTTTGTACAGTAAATGGTGAAAAAAAAGAGCAGAGTTTATTTGTAGCCTGATGAGGTGACTCAGTCTGTGCTGTGAAGCATAAGCAACTGAAAGCAAAACAGACATTATCAACTGCAGACTTTTACACGGCTTCCTGGCAGGCCTCTCCTGGGGAAAAGTGTGTGCCGTTCGCTCACAGAAAGGATCTCTATGGCCTGACATAGAGAACACTGTAATTGGTATTTGTGGCGAGAGGCTAGCGACCAAGGCCTCCCATCTCAAGTACAAGATAAGGATTTCTGCATGCAATTACAGTTAATGCCGCATTTAGCGAGGCACGGAGGATAGGGTTTAGCGGGTACATACCTAGAGAGTGCTGGAAAATACAGACCACAAAGTCACACAAACACATACACATGTGTTCACATGTGTGTGCAACAGTTTTACAGCTATAACAACAAGTCATTTTATGAACAATAAAAGGTGTCACTTTTAAACTAACCGTGCTGATTGTTTATTTGGCATTTGGGACTTTTTCCTAATGGAGGTTTGGGGTGAGCTGCCAAACACTGGATGAGAAGAGAGAGAGAGTCTGCAAGCAAGCAACATGCAGCTAAAACATTCTCATTATAATCAATGATACTGCATAGACTGCAAATATGCTGCATGGTTTTCTTGATGAAATGATGCAGAGAATTAATAAACGCAACAGACTTTAAAGCTGCAACTATAAACTTTGCAATGCTTTTCATGAAATTAAAATTGACCCTAATTATTTACTTATTTTAAATAAATCTTTTTGAAAATGACTCATCTGTGCACATTATTCTAAAGACAAAGGTCATTCTTGTATTTTTGTCTGTTTTTTCAGTACAAATATCTAAACATTGTTAAATCAAGAAACATTTACTGCTTAAAATACGTCTTAAGTCTTGTTATCTGATACATTTATCAAATTTGTTTGAAAAGGGAACAAATAGCAGCCAATGGGGTAAGAAAAGTAAACTTAATTCAAAGGGCAAACAATATTAAATTGAAACTATTTTTCTTTTCTCAGTGAAAAAAGACAAGTGTTTGTTGTAAAGAAGGTCATATTAAGATACTTGTTCTTCTCCAATCAATGCTGGATCGATACAATATAGTCCTGCATCGTGTTTCCATTGAATATTTTGTTTCAAATTGGCTGCAAAAGGCATTTCAACATCTGTGCTTAAACAGGTTTCAGTTTTCACATGTTGTAAGTGTTTCAAGTTTCAATGCGGAGCATATTTTTGCTGGCCATTGCATGCTAATAAACCCATTTATCAACACGATCTTTTGCAATATTGGCTTTTATGCAACCTACAATAATAAAGTGAACTACTCACCTATATCAGGCTTGATGCAAATTCTACACACTTTCTTCAAAGGTGATTTTATGATGTCTAAAATGCCTTTGCTGCTCATTACTGTCTCTCAGTGTGTAGTGGGATTGAAAAGATCACGCAGCACCGCGTTTCACCAGTGGGGGGCAACAGGAGATGAAAAAAACCTGATTGTCAAAGAAATACAATCATGTAATCAGTTCAGGCGCTGTTGCCTTTTATATTATGAACGAGTGCAAAATACTATCATGAGAGTAAAGTTCATTACAGTGTAACTTGACTCCTGAAATCAGTCAGTCTAATGGAGCACTACAATCTTCATATATTTTTCATAAACACAATAATGAATTCTGCAATGATGAAATCAAACTACCAACAAACACCCGCAAGTATTTTGGTGTCTGAATTTGGAAACTAACTAAGCAGAGACGAAAATACTGTGCTGAACTGCCATCCAAGTTCATTTTAGAGTTCTAATTAGAAGTTAACACTTGTTTCATTTGTCTATTTTTGATAGCTCCCCAGGTATTTTAGGAGAAACATCTGAGTCAAAGTTGATATTTAAAATTAAACATGACTGAGCCGTTACAGAAGTGAAAAAGGAAAAGAAAACACTTTAAATGCATGCTCATTAAAAGATCAGCGATGGCACGTAAGGTAAAGCTTTGTTTACAACAATGAGCCCAGGAGTAAATAAATGCAGGGAGAAGCAGGGGGTTAATGTGTCTGTGGTTTGGCTCGAGCGGCCGCCCGGAGCAGGAGTCAGAACATCATTAAACTTAATGGATAGGATGTGGTTTCCCTCTGGAGCTGTAGAGTCACCACAGGGAGAAAGACACGCTGCTCAGGTGAACTGAACCTCCCTATAATGCTCCACGACTGGACCATGGAGGCCTCCAGTCACTCTTAACTGATTGGTCAGCTGAAACGACCAATGAAGTTGAGTAGATCTTACTAGCCTGTGATCTTTGACCATCGGATGAGATGCATCACATACTCTGTGGTTTTTCATGGAGGGATTTCCAAGACAAATTTATGGACTGATGAAAGATCTTAGCTGAAATCTATTTTAGAAACAGGTTGTTAAGGTCGCCGTAGAATCTGTGCCACACATTTGATGAGATCCCAGAGGAAAGTTTTATTGCGTAAAGATTGCTGCCCTCACGGCTCAGTCAGGTTTAATTTAAATATTGACGTTGTTACTTGAAAAACATCTTGGGAAAAATAAAAAGACTTAAGTGAGTTAAATGCTGACGTACAGTATGATAACAGATAACCCGGGTTCATTGGAAAAACATGCCTTTGGCGGGATTTCTGCAAAACGATATTACATCGCTTCTTGCATGTTTTGCAACACTTTTGAAGTGAAATGTCCAGTGAGTGCACTGTAAAAAATGACCGTGCATTTAACGGTAAAAGACTGTAAAAAAGCTACAGTACAAACCTGTTAAATGGTTAACGGTAAATTCCCCTACTATATACGGTGAAAAATTGTATTGGACATTACATGTATTGGACATACATTTTACGGTAGTTTGGAAGTGATGGAAGTGAAAAAGACTGTATAATTTACAGTGAATAACCATAAATTGACATTCCCAGAATTACATTTCAATTTTCTTATCCGTTTTGTATATTAGGGTTGTGTGTTACACATTAATGTTGTTAAATGAATGTTTATTGTATTATTTCAGTTTCATGTGTGTTACCATTATGGTGTTTAGTGTTTGTGTGAATGACGCTGTGCACCTTCTATATATGTTATTATTTAAAAGCTGCTTGTGATGGGCTTTGGTTCATCATGTGACTTTCTCATCACCACCTGCATTTGGTGGTTATCAGTGTATTACAAAGGTACAAAACAGATTTCAGTACTTCAATAGGTTGGTATATTAACATTATATCAGTTAATGAAATTACGGTTTTTAATTGTAAATTTAAGTTAAAACCGTAAGACTGTAAAACCTAAAATGTTGCTACCATATTTTTTACGGTAAAATTCCGGCAACCACAGCTGCCGTTTTTTTTTACCGTAAATTTTACGTAATTTTTTTTTACAGTGCATGCTGTGATCAGCAAAAATTGATTTTGGATTTATTTGATGAGAAACATTTGAACTCACACTGAGATCTGACTTTGATTGCTCTTCTGAAATTCTAGTCTATTCTTCTGGGTTTTCATTAGAATTCTCCATTCGCTGTCTAGAATTTATCATAGATCTCACACTTGTGATGTTTCTTTCCTAAAGGCCTGTTTGTGAACTCGAACCCGTTAACTCCAGTGTCTCTGGGTAGGTCTGACCCCCTTCACATACTGGCACAGTTACTGAAACTAAATGGCATCGTTAAATAAAAACTGCGTCTGTTTTGAGTTCACCTGGGCGCAGATAAAGAACAAAAGCCTCCGGAAGCTTTGTCTCAAGACAAAGGCTGAACAATAAACTTAGTTTTCTCTCTTTTAAAACTCAAGTCTAAGAAAGGATGTGAAGCACATGGTACCCTCTATGCAGCAGATCCTCCAGAGTCCGGAGTGCGTGAGATCTCCGCGGACCTTCTTGGGTTGCGTCTGCGCCTCGTCCGCGCTGATGTTGGTGGCGTTACAGATATATGCCCGGGAATAAAGCCAGTAGTCGGTCCCGATCGCGATGCTCATCAAACCAAACGCCACGAAAGCCCCGATTGTGGCCAGCAGCATCTGAATCCCACGGTCACACCACGCCATGGCCACTCATAATAATAACCACGGTAATAATCCACGCGTCATGCTTGGCCTCGCGCTCGCGCTGCTTTGTTCCGACTGGAAACTTGAGCGCGTCTGCTCCACATGTTGCTGTTTATATAGGCTAGAGAGCAGCTGTGTGAGCTCACACATCGGGGTCGCTTTTTATGCTTTTTGAGGAGTTTTGATCATCACCGTGTCCATTTCCTATAATCGCATCCCTCTTTTCGAAACTCAGATGGCTTTGGTTTGGGATTGCGATCTTCAAACCCCACCTTCAGTCACACTAACCAATGAGAAACACACATGGCCTGAAGAATAAGATGATGCTCTCACATCTCTTCATCGCGATGATGATTAAAGAAAATCTAACCATATTGTAAACACACACACACACCAGATAAAGTAAATCTATTAGGTATATTCTGTATTATATAATATGCTATATAACTTTAACAATTTTGTAAAATATAGCAGATGAGGTTAGAGTCCAGAAATTAGTTAATACATTTAATACATTATAAATGCAGCCATAGCTAATATTGTTATGTTAAATTAATTAATGATATCTTACAAAAAGGAGGTTTTATTTCATAAATTAAGATGTATTAATAAAGATTTATTATAAATTCAAGTAAAAATATTAACTTATATTATATGAACTAATCTTAATGTCTTATGTATGTATGTATGTATGTATATATGTATGTTAAAAAACTGACACAGACCTGCTTTTACACAGTATTGGGTAGATTATTTCTAAAATGTGCTACTGATTATGGATTACACCACTGTAATCATTCATTTACACAATTTAAAAGCATGAGAATTGTTATTAATAAGGGAAGGGATGTTTTTCTGTTGTTATCATATGGCCACTTGAAGCAACAAGACTATTTATTGTTTATGTGTAGAATATTCTGCCCCAGATCTCCACACACTTTTATTTAATTCAAAGGTTCCGTTTCATTATTATATGTAAACCATACCCAGGAAAACAAATACTATTTTGGAATATTCTTCTCATCGGTGTACAGACTGGTGGTACATCCAAAAATACCCTTAAAAAGGGTGCTATGGAAGTGATGTATCAGATTGTAATACAGTGGTACTATGCATACTCTATTTATGAATCAAGCCATTTGCGTGGTTCTCCAAGGAACTTCCAAGCATTCCATTGTATATGTTTAAAATAGCATGGAAGTACCATGGTACCTATTTGATTATAACATCAGAGAAATAAACCAATAAAACCATCCTTCCAACCAGCAATCATTTGACCAGCAGTTAAAGCAATATGCTGATGAAACAGTTCTCAGAAGGACAATCAAACAGATCCTCATTGGGAGACATTAAAAAAAGCGATTGTTTAATGAGTTTGCTTCAAGCACCTGATAAATGTTCTCCTTCAGTCTAGTACAGCCAGACCCTCAGAGTAAAGCGATTGTTCAGTCTCTCCTGGGAACAGGCATTACGACAGCAGCTGGTTGTTTGTTAGCTTAACGCGTTTTACACAAAAATTGCACTATTGAACATGGAAGCCACTAAATCCATTAGCAATATGAATGTTTTTCAGGGAAGACATCATAATATAGACACAGAGGTGCGGATGTGCTGTTACCATTTGAGACTGGAGACTGTTTTTGATATTTATAGTGTAATAAGTATGGTGGAGGTGAATGAGCAGGACCCTCAGATGGGTGTGTGATCAGCCCAGCGGATCGATGGAGAATGTGTGGCTGGAATCAGGCTGGAGCACTAAGAGCATGCTGACTGCAGACACACTGATTGGGCCAATCGAGATGAACACAGAACTTCATCAATAGGAAGCAAATGGAAAGGATCTATTCACAGCTAGCTGGTCCCTATACTCCGCTCAAGAAAGAAAGAAAAAAAAAAAAAAACTAGGTTTACATGATGTTTCTGATTATCAGTGTGTTTTTCTACACTTTGCTCTTTTTTTTTTTGGCTTGTGTGTTGATTTAGTAGTCACATTTTGTATGACAAAAATATAGTTTTAACCACCAGGACATGTCTAAAGCTATAAAATTACTATCTATATAAATTCCACAACAGAATAGAATCCACCATCTCTGCAACCTTACACAGGACAAATGGTTTGAAAAATGGATGGAGAATAGAATAGAATAGAATAGAATAGGCTTAAGCATGTTTGGGAACCTACACAGAACAATTGGTTTAGAAAAAGAAAAACAGAATTGTATAGAATGAATAAAATAAAATTAATAGAATTGGCTGCAGCGCCCCTGAGAAAATACTTAGGACAAGCAGTTTGGAAAATAGAAAATAGAATAGAGTCCAGCATCCCTGTGAACCTACAGTACAGTACAAAGGAAAAGTAGTTTGGAAAATGAAGAATAGAATAGAATAGAATAGAATAGAATAGAATAGAATATGCTCCAGCACCCCTGTGAACCTACATAGGACAAGCAGTTTGGAAAATTGAGAAAAGAACAGAACAGAATAGAATAGAGAATCTATTATAACCTAAATAGGACAAGCTGTTTGGAATTTGGAAAATAGAACAGAATAAAATTAATAGAATTGGCTGTAGCATCCCTGAGAACCTACTTAGGACAAGCAGTTTGGAAAATAGAAAATAGAATAGAATAGAGTCCAGCATCCCTGTGAACCTACAGTACAGTACATAGGAAAAGTAGTTTGGAAAATGAAGAATAGAATAGAATAGAATAGAATAGAATAGAATAGAATAGAATAGAATAGAATAGAATAGAATAGAATAGAATAGAATAGAATAGAATAGAATAGAATAGAATAGAATAGAATAGAATAGAATAGAATAGAATAGAATAGAATAGAATAGAATAGAATAGAATAGAATAGAATAGAATAGAATAGAATAGAATACGCTCCAGCATCCCTGTGAACCTACAGTACAGTACATAGGAAAAGTAGTTTGGAAAATGAAGAATAGAATAGAATAGAATAGAATACGCTCCAGCATCCCTGTGAACCTACAGTACAGTACATAGGAAAAGTAGTTTGGAAAATGAAGAATAGAATAGAATAGAATAGAATAGAATAGAATAGAATAGAATAGAATAGAATAGAATAGAATAGAATAGAATACGCTCCAGCATCCCTGTGAACCTACATAGGACAAGCAGTTTGGAAAATTGAGAAAAGAACAGAACAGAATAGAATAGAGAATCTATTATAACCTAAATAGGACAAGCTGTTTGGAATTTGGAAAATAGAACAGAATAAAATTAATAGAATTGGCTGTAGCATCCCTGAGAACCTACTTAGGATAAGCAGTTTGGAAAATGGAGAATAGAACAGAACATAATAGAATAGAACATAATATTGGCTGTAGCATCCCTGAGAACCTACTTAGGACAAGCAGTTTGGAAAATGGAGAATAGAACAGAACATAATAGAATAGAACATAATAGAATAGAACAGAACAGAACAGAACACAATAGAATAGAATAGAATAGAATCCAGCATCCCGGAGAACCTACAAAGGAAAAGTAGTTTGGAAAATAAAGAATAGAATAGAATAGAATAGGCTTCAGCATCCCGGAGAACATACATAGGAAAAGTAGTTTGGGAAATGAAAAATAGAACAGAACATCCATGGCAAAACTGACAGGTGATTGAGCATGCATGTTGTTGCACAGTAGCTAAGATGATCTGGGTGGTAGTAAAAGAATAGAACAGAACAGAACAGAACACAATAGAATAGAATAGAATAGAATCCAGCATCCCGGAGAACCTACAAAGGAAAAGTAGTTTGGAAAATAAAGAATAGAATAGAATAGAATAGGCTTCAGCATCCCGGAGAACATACATAGGAAAAGTAGTTTGGGAAATGAAAAATAGAACAGAATATCTATGGCAAAACTGACAGGTGATTGAGCATGCATGTTGTTGCACAGTTGCTAAGATTATCTGGGTGGAAGTAAAGGAGCTGCTAAGATGTTGTGCAAGGTTTTTAGCATGTCGTTATGCAGTTGCTAGGGTGTTGCTAAGGTGTTCTGGTGGTTGCTAAGTGGTTGCTCACTGGCCCAATCAAAAGAGCCCACCCCCAAGTCTCTATGATATTCTGCCGTCTAGATATGACACAAGTGCATCCTTTGGTGTAAGTCTATGGGAATCCTTTGGTCGTTTGATTGGATAGAGAAGCAACAGCACACCTCTCCTCAACATGCTACATGATTTGAGGTATTCATGTCTTTTCACAAACTGTGTGGGATGAGTTACACATTGTAGTTTAATATTTAGAGCTGGGGTTTGGGGGGGAAATAACCTAACCCAAGTATAAGCAATAGTAATAGTAACTTATAAAAACAGATGATGACAACACAAAATCTTCTGATATGTTATTCCCTTATATCCCTTATATGATATGTTATTTCATCTTTTAAATAACATAGCCACTGACAAATCCCATGTGTCTTCACAGCTGAATATTGATGTATGGCGTGTAAATTAAAACACTTGAGATTATGTTGCCAGGATGCATCTGTGGTAACTGAAGAGTGGTAGGTGTGAAATAAGCCTGAAAACATGATGTTAACGCCAATTAAAGCTGCAGGTTGAGCGTGAGGCTCTTCGAGGAGAGGCAGAATTTGCTGACAAGCTGGACCAAAGGACAGCACTCTGACCTTTATACGGCATTATTTTTTAGAAAGCACTCACTGAAAGAAGGTTCTGTGCATATTTCACATTATACATTATACTTGCTGTCACAAACACTGATCAAATGTTTGGGGTCGGGAGGATTTTTTGATCTTAAATCTCATGCTCACCGATGCTGAAAAAATACAATAAAAAAGTAATATTGTGAAATATCATTACGATTTAGCAACTGTTCAAATGTAATTTATTTCTGTGATATTTCAGCATCATTACTCCAATCTTCAGTGTCACGTGACCTAATATACTGATTTGCTGCTCAAGAAACATTTCTGATTATTATCAATGTTGAAAACAGTTGTGCTGCTAAATATTTTTGTGGAAATCGTGATACATTTTTTTCATTTCATTTAATGCATCTGTGCTTAAATAAAGTTTTAATTTGTTTCAAAAGAAAAAAAAATCTTACTGGTAATATAAAAATATAAAATATACAGTGGTCCCAAAAAGTGTTTGGACACCTAAGCCATATTTAATGAAAGTAAATGCAATA